AGAAAATTCCTTTTGAGAGGGACAGGTAACGAGTAAATTCCTCCTTAATCACCCAGGATACACAAAGATGTTTGACTCTGCTGTTGTAGGGGTTAGAAAACACTCCTCAAATTTACCTGAGCAAAATATCTGAAAGGCAGGCTAACCTCTAAATAGGAAAACAGCTACGTTTTGAATGGCTACTCTTCAAACGTTATGGGAAGGCTGTCATAACATAACATTTTCATCTCCTTCTGCAGAGATGAAATAGAATTTCAATCGAAAGCTTTCATAAGTGTGAGGTGCATTTATTCCACACAGCAAGTCTACAGTGTTTTTCAGTCATTGTAATTCATTTACAGTTCTCTGTTAACGTGTGTGAGGGATGTAAAAGAGAGAAAAAAAAAAGATCCATGTGTTTGTTTCTATGTGTATCGTGGCATCTGTTTACACTTGCCAGCGCACATTACTCTCCACAAACACACACCCCCAACATAAACACACACACACATACACTTGCACTCAAAAGAAAAGGAAGTCTGGATTATGTGGCTCTGAGGATGGACAGGCAAACCCAAACTCACTTGAACAATCGGGGACAGAGCCCAGAAAGAGGAAAGTTGCAGGAAGGGAGAAGGAGGGAGAGGTGGGGGTGAGGAATCACGGCCCTTAGGGGAGCAGTCCAGCTGCAGCCTGTTGGTCTGTTGTCGTGAAGCCCATTCACTCACACACACACAAACACAGTTAGACACAAACAAACCAGTGCCACGGTTGACCTAACCATGCCCGCCTTCATTAGCTGCCAATCACTCTGCACATTGCCGTCCTAAAGGGGGAGCAGGAGGGAGAGAAAGGGAAGGAGATGGATGAGGAGATGGTAGTTACGTTGCAGCTATCAATAATCGAGCTGCCTAAGCTCCCGTGTCCTATAGTGTCTCAATACCGAAACGTTACATTAAGTAAACACCGTGAAAGTTGGAAAATAACGTGTTTCCCTCCTTGCTTTATTTCAGTAGACACTGAATTGGTCTGTTTCAGTGTTTTAAGCATGATACCTCCATTACTCGAACGCGATAAAAAGACGGGCTGGGGTAGGTAGGTACTTCAGGATGACCAAGCATGCTCTCACACACACACACACACACACACACACACACACACACACCACACACACACACACACACACACACACACACCACACACAAACACCACAGAGGGCTATTCCCATAGGGACAAAGACCACACGTCTAGATGCACACACCCCCACACACTGAGTGTAGACACATTCACACGAGACACAGAAGCACCCCCAGTTGCATGTGGTGGCTTTCATACTACATGTGTGTTTATACTGCAGGCAAACACTCATACAGTACCTACAGTATGCACCTATTCAAACACACACACACACCGACAGCATAAATCTAATTCAGATGCACACACACACACACACAAGGGGACTGTGGCCCTAACAAGCAGACCGACCAGCCTTCATGCAGCCTGACACTAGAGAGATGGCTTTCTAATTATTTGTGCTTCCTACAAACAGTTGTTTTTCCTTTTTAGTTTACCAGCTTAAGCGTATTTGCTTTCTGTGTTGTTTTTTAATGAAATGAGTCTGTAATGAGGATGGCCTTCAATCAACCTGTCTTTGTGTTGTTGTCCATGGACACCAATCAGTACCCCATGAGAACAATGCATTTTCCTCTATGTCGGTTCAGTTTCAGTAACAAAGGACAGATCATTTAAATGAATCGTTTTTTGTGTGTGTATTATTCCTCCCAGACCATCACCCACCAAACCTTTAGTATATTTTTCACCAATTCTTCTTCACGCCATTTGACGTTATTCGTCATGGCCGCTTACAGCAAATTGGGCCCTGGATTGAACTTGACAGAGGGGTGGCGGGGGTGATGAAATGATGTAGAACGATTGCTATATTCATGTCAGTTGAGTTAATGCAGTCCTTATGGCTCATACTGGGATTTGGAGAACGGGGCTGCTGTTCGGTTTGACCCAACACCCCAATTTTAAAGCACCACCACGTTTGAGCAGAATTCATGAGCAAAGCCTGTATCATAATAGTGTTCCTAGGCTATATTAAATGTATACTTATTTTTGCATCAATTATGTTGTCAATTGTATTTCTTGTTTTCCTTTTCTTTATTATTTTGCTTTCAAAAGACAAAGCAAACACTCAATAGAGCCCTCAAAGCAAAAGCCTTGGCAACACAAACCAAAGTCTTAGGCAGTCGTGCGTGTGAATGTGTCCGTGTGTGTGTGTGTGTGTGTGTGTGTGTGTGTGTGTGTGTGTGTGTGTGTGTGTGTGTGTGTGTCTGTGTGAAGCGAAGAACACGGCTCAATGAAATGCCTTGCCTATACGAGACACAGATGCTGTCTGGGCTGGTTTAATGAAAGTGAATGTCTCGGGTTACACCATTTGAGCAAGTGTGTGTGTAGCGCTGATGTTTTGAATGTCATAGGAGGTACAGCTTGTGTTGAAAACTCTGCTGAATTAAGATAAGGATCACACAAAAGCCTGTCACTCTCTTTTTACCTTCTTTTTATCTCCCCTGCTATACCTGCTCTCAGCACAATGCGCCTATTTGATGCCTAGCCTTGGTTTGAGAATCCTCACTCCAGCCTTCTCTGTTTTCACCCCTGTGACAAGCTATTTAGCAGGAGGGCGCTGCTCTGTGGCTTTTGCCTCCCAAGTCTCACTGTTCGTTATCAGTATATTTGCAATGATGTCTTTGTGCACGTTCTCTTACAAACAGCTGGTGAATTGTATCTTGCACAGAAGTTTTCTTGAGATGTTAGATAGAGGCAAGTTGTCCTCTAATCATGGGACTTGCACTATTTTGAATACCTTGTCTGAAAAAAACATTGGAGGATGTGAGAGGCAAATCATGTTCCTTTTCCCTCACCAGCCTACTACATACACTCAGGAAATGACAAACAAAAATATAAATACAAAGGGCAGGATTAATGTCATCTGACAGTTTCTTATATATGATACCATCTAGCTTTCAGGTACCCCGACTGGTATTGAGTTTACAACAGGTTGAACTCTCATTTCCTGGCTGCGAGTCTGCATGTCCAGCAACCAACTTTGACGTTTTAAAGAGTAGAGGAAGACATTGTCGGAACAGCAGTCTGGGTAAAGCCCCAACGAGGCGTGGCCCACGTAATTCACAGTGACACCAATAAGAAACCTGAGAGCTGGAGTCCACAAATTCAAAACAAACCTGTAAGGCCTAGATTGTGTTGCAATTCCTGCCACAAGTTTTACTGTTTTGTAACTCAAAGGGGTAGGCAGAATACATTAAAAAAAAAAAATGGTGAAACGCAGTGAAATAGATTCAATTTACCACAAAACTCCGCAAAGCGATCTGCTTCAAATTTAATTTGGACCTGAGGGCTTGCTATAGGGTACCGCTTGTGGAAACCAGCCTATGGGCTCGGCGGCATCCCTGCAGAATAGAAAAAGAACGTTGACGGGCTAAAAAGTGGTAATAAAGTAATTTCAGGCTTGACAACGTACGCAGTGAGGATTTGAGAAGTGGTCTCCATGCTTGCAACTATCCCCCGACTAATCAGTTGGAATTTTGGAAAATAAATGATTGGTGCTGTAAATGTTGCCGTGAAAGAGAAGCAGGGCTGTGTGTGCGTGTGCGTGTGTGCGTGGGATGTTAATTGATGAGAGTTATAGAGAGCTGCTAGTAGCACAGGGTGGATCATTACTGCTGGAGTGGAGCAACGGCATTCACGGCTGTTTCCCATGTCTCATACATACATAAACACACACACACACATACACACACTTACTCTCACTGTGCACCAGCAGTCAAGAAGGAACACCACCTTCTTGCTCCCTTTTGTACATCCTTTTGTCATGAAGTACGACGGCGCAATCACACGTAACGCGTCAGGTAATTATAACACCCTAATTCGACTATCTTCTAAACACACCAAAATGACACTTTTATCCAAATCAGGGGCTTTCTGAAAATCGCAAGATTTATTTGAGCTGTCACAATGGGGGAAAACAAACAATTATACCCAGAGGCATTCCCATCCTTCAGTCAATTTGTGGGAAGAGGAGGTAAAAGGCGCGCAGGCCACTTTGGGTTAAAGGATTTAGGTCACGCTTTAACTGACCTGGCTGATATCAGAACAGTGAGACAGAAATCCTGGAGTGGACTCTGGACTCGAATCCATCTCCTGAATGACTGACACTTGAGAGACTGACACTGAGAGAATGAGGCGCGGTGTGTATCTACTCAACCTGCTGTTCTGACCTATATTTTTTCCTACTGTGATTCTGCCTATAAACAAGAGAGACGTTTTGTTGTGACTTTTACTGCAGCTGTGTATGCATGCACATACTCACCCTCATTGTGTGTGCATGTTTCGTTTTATTTTACACGGGAATGTGTCTCTGCTTATGTCTCGATGTGCATAAATGCATACCTTGAGACATTGTTGGTGTTTCTGTGTGTTTCTCTGCACCGGGGAAGGGTGTGTGTAAGCAAAATCAGTGTGTGTTTATGCTTTCTGTCAGTGTGGAGCAACATCTCTCTCTCTCCTGCTGATGCATCATTACTTGAGTTTAGGAGCCGCTGTCACTTTAGTCGCTGCAAAGGACAGGTGAGACTGCACAGGACTGCAGCCAGCGTCTTTCTGGCACACAACACAGTGAGACACACACACTCACACACACAAATATCATAAATGTAAATCTAAATATCCTACAGTACTATCACTATCTTTTATTTTTTACATTTTTAAAGAATATGATTGGAATAATATAATACCGGTACGTAAAAGTAGGACATTTATAAATATTACTTTTACATTGAAAAAAAAAAAAATGAATAAATAACATTTTAATTATAATGTGTGCAAGTTTAAATATACTTGAATAACGGACATACACACAACACACACACACACACACACACACACCCACACACACACACACACACACACACACACCCACCACACAGACTGAGTTGTACCTCCAGTAGCCAGGGTTGAGTTTGCGGTCCCAGGATGATGTCGAAGCCCAGCACCTCAAAGCAGACACTGTCGCTCCCTGGTGGTTGTCCGGGGCGACACATGCGATAGGCGTGCAGCACGTGGGGCTCTGCCACTATTATGGTCTTCACCACCAGCTCCTGGCAGGGACACCAAACACAAAGAGAGAGAGAATGACCGAGCTGAGCTGACAAAGAGTGAGCGCAACTCTTACTTTGTTTTAGTCAGTTGCTATCATCCTGAAAAAGGAACGTTTTAGAACAGCTGATAAAGGCTTCTTTAACTGAAAATGTTGCAATTAATCCGGTTTTAATTGTGGCTGCAAACAA